GTACGGTTTCTGATATTATAAGGACATTATCATGTATGTATACAAGCTTCTTCTACAAATTGAACTATTCGCGCGAGGCAAATTCCATCTCCGATCATCATTTGCATACAAAGCAATCCTATTTCCATCATCATACAATTGCGCGTGGATTATTCCAAATTTCCATAACTTATTTTCTTCATAACTTTTTAACAAACAATGAGCGACGGTTTATTATAAAATGCCTTCCGAGTCCGGCCTACCGTCTCCTGCATCCTCATTCGCTCAAACGTGTAAATTAATTACTCGATAACTTATTGTTACTTTTGTACCGTGGCACACGACATTTCTCCTTAGTTTAACCCAATCTACCACTTTAAGTTGGCTACTTTTGCATCAGACACCCTGTATATATTTAACCCGGGTTAACTGTTCTGTAGAGCAGATAATTTTCCATCATTTGTAGGTCCATACGCACACAAGAATATTGTGCTTTACAGAAATACGCAAACCCGATACAAACTTATTTTCTTTATAACTTTTTAACAAACAATGAGCGACGGGAATGGGCAATGACCTTGACCTCCTTGGGGGTCAAGGTCAACATCAAGGTCAAACGGAAGTTGATTGGCGGGTGCTATGTAAGGGTAAATATTTACCCTCCCGTAACTGAATGCGGTGTGGATCTGTACATTAATAAAAATTTTTGAATTTCTTCTCGCCAATTTTTGTCTTCCGCGTGCGCAATTTTCAACCTTTTTAGAAGGCTTCTATTCTGCCTTTCTACCTCGCCGTTTGCCTGAGGCCAGTACGGTGCCGTATGCGCGATCCTAATCCCGTTAATACTTAGCCATTCCCTAAATCGCTCATTCGCAAATTGAGGTCCGTTGTCGCAAACTATCGTGCTTGGAAATCCGTGCCTCGCAAATATTTCAAAAAGGACCTCTATTATCTTATCCGTCGTCGTACTTTTTAAAATTTGTACCTCAAAGTATCTACTGTAATAATCCGTTACAACTAGGATGTTTTCCCCTGTCGGCATCGGGCCCATTAAGTCTAACGCAATCGATTCCCACGGACCTGTGGGCAATTCGTTTCGCTTTACCGGTGGTCGCGATACAGTGTCCTGTACCAATTGACATCCTTTGCACGCCTTTACTGTTCTTTCCGCATCCCTGTCTATCCCATCCCACCAGACCTTGCTTCTTAATCTGTTTTTCATTGCCACAATTCCGGGGTGACCCTCGTGCGCTATCTGAAGTGTTATTCGCTTCAATGCTTCCGGAATGACTATTCGCGTTCCCCTTAAAACAATGTTATTATAGCAACATAATTCGTCCCTCATTATCCTAAATCTGGATTTTTCTAACTTCTTCCAATCTCCCGTCTTTATTGCCTCCCTTACGTTTCCTAAAACCTGATCTTTTCCTGATTCCAAATCTATTTCTTCTAATGTCATTGCTCTCGGCACGGCTTCTCTCGCTACCCAATATACATACTGTTCATCTATGCCCTGATTATTTACTCCCTTTTACTTTTCATTTATACTTAACCTTGACAATGCATCCGCTATATTTGTTTTGCCTTTCTCATACACTATTTTATATTTAAACTGTTGCAGGCGTAGTACCCACCTTTCTATCCTAGCATTTGGTTTTGTTTTTGGTGCAAATATGTATTCTAATGCCTTATGGTCGGTAACTAGCTCAAATTCGATCCCATATAACCAAATATAAA